AACTTTGAGTAAATTAATACTTAAGTTTGTGCTGTTTGTTTGCCGCCATTGTCAGTCCCTTTCTTTTTGTTCCCATGAAGAAGTTCTAGCTAATTTCAAATAACAGACATCCAGTTAGAATGTTAATATAAATCTAAGAAAACAATCGTGTCTTATTTCTATGTGTCCATGTGTAATGTAGAATAACTGTATCCCTCTAGCTATTCATGCTAGCTATCAGCAAAGGATTTCTAGGTACTTTTGTATGAAGACCATATGAAAGTCCCAAAGAATTCTCTCCTGGTTATGTAGTCTGTTGACAGTACTTTTTGCTTTATCTTGATGGCATCTTAGAATGCATTATTTTGAAATCTTCGACAAATTGCCGCTGATGTGTCTCCACTTCTAAAGAAAATATGCTCTGATTCCTGTTGGGAATTTGATAACTTTTCCCCTCTTGGTTTACTCAACAATACAGAACTTGGTTTGTTCTCCACCGAGGGGGTCGTGGTGGAAAATATTCCAAAGACAAACCCAAGTGTTCTGGGCTCAAACATCATTTTGTGAATTTACGCACAAATCTGAGAACATAAGAAATGTTGTAATAAATCAGACTAAGAGTCTACCTGCTTCAGTATTCCCACAGCTGCCAACCAGATAATATGGGAAGTCTCCAAGCAAGACAGGAGCACAACAGCATCTTTATATTCAACTCATAATCAGAGGGGTACACTTCCCAAAGCTTGAAGTGTAAATGGTTAAAAGTGAATCACTTACCCTTACTAATTATTATTTTAAGAACAATGATTCAATTGTTTTAATGTCAACAACATTAAGAGTTTGAGTAATTATTACTGTTTCATGTTACATTGATTAATAACTTTTTGGAGGTAATTGGGAAGTGTTTTGGGCCATTACAAGTAATTCTTTTTTTAATGTAGAGGTAACACCAACAGTTTGAGTAATTATTACCGTTTCATGTTACATTGATTATTAACTTTTTGGAGGTACAGTAATTGGGAAGTGTTTTGGGCCATTACAAGTAATTCTTTTTTTAATGTAGAGGTAACACCAAATATTGCTAATGAATGATCAATGTAATGAATTAATTTTATACAGTATTAATTCAAATAATTACAATTAAAATTTTATTTTTAGCTCAACAGTAATGTTAATATGCCTACCCCCAATACAACCATCTGCCGTTACCATTGATAGCAATTGATTGTCTTATGCATTAATCCTTTTTAGAGGAAACTAAAAAGGCAGCCATTAGAACATCCCATGGAAGCAAATTTCATATCTGACTGTACACTATGCAAAGAGACAATTTCATATTGCCAAAGTGTATATATCCTGTTCAAGTATGTGCTATGCCCATTTTCTCCTTGAGAAGCTATCCATTCCCCTCTTCTAAACCAACTTGTATTTTAGGATTTATTTCACCCTTTTGCACTATCCCTATTGCTACTCCCACAATAGCTACTGACCCCCCAGTTATAGTCCAATACTATGTTTCATTACATTATTTCATGTACTGTATAAGCACAAAAATTTTAAAACAAATGGTGGTAATCATGTCTCTTTCCATGCAATAGATATTTTAAAGATTGCACATACTTTCTTTTCTTTCCTATTAGTTATATTTATCCTGCCTTTCCTTCAATAAGTTCAAGGCAGAATACATGGCTATCCTTCTCCTCATTTTCTCCTTGGAACAACAATCCTGTGAGGTTAGTCAGCCTGATTGAGAGTGCTGTCATTCAGCAATGAACTTAATGACTTTATAGAACTACACTGGCTTTCAGAAGCATGTGGACATAAAGTGTCTATAATCTGACAGTAGCTATCATAAGAGCACAGAACTTTATTGCCAGGAGGTGGAGGAGGTAAGGGACTTGGCCGGCCTGATCTTGTTCATTCTGTCCCACCTGTTAACCAGCTAGAATTCTTACACCTTCAGTGTCCTAGCATATATGCAGTCACCTCAAAATTAGTCCACCTTTGGCACACATATCCATGTGTCTTAGTCAACGCCTATCCCAATCCTTTCTGTGTGGTCATCCAGATCTCTTTGCTCCTCTGAAGCTATAACAAAAATAATGACACCCCACTAAAAACAACCCCCCAAACTTACAGGAAAAACAACAGCCTAAGCTTGAAGAATATGACACACTGCCCCAAGGATGCATTTTACATTTTCCCATTGTCTCAAAACAAGTTTCTCTTCATGACTGCAATTAATGTTTTCATCCAACTGCAAAAGCTGGTGCACAATATGTTAGCAGAGCAAGCAAAATATGCCATCCTTGCCTCTACCAGTAGGGCTATCTTCCTCCTTTCCCCTCCCGCCTTCTGCCACTGCTCTATTTTCCCATTATCCCTTTAATGCAGAGCAAGACTGCTGATTACAAGAGAGGCAGTTTGACTCTGGCAATAGGTCTTCTTCACTAATCCTCACTGTCATAGAAATTCCAGCTGCTACATGAATAAGAAGCTCAATCCATATTTGCCAGCTCTAATATGAAATCTGTCACAGCTCAAATTAATGAGTTCCAAATTCTTTACATCACGATAACAGGTTAAGACTGGTCAATTAATTACATAAATCCTTCCCGATTCATTGTGCATTTTCGGGTGAGATTGTGTCTTACATTACTCCGTGACACAAGGCCTTTCGGCTCTTGTTGTTCCACAGAAAAGGCCCCCATTTAAGCGTTGCCTGCCTGCCACAGCCAAGTGTTAAATGTCATCCATTGGATTTGCACTTCTCTGTAATTGCTTTTGTTAAAAAAAATTAATTAAAAGCTCCAGCATGGCAGTGCATCTGGGGAAGGAGAGGTTAGGCGGGCGGGACCCAAGAAATCTATTCTTCTCTTTACCATACTGATCTGGAAAGTCTCTCACTGGCTATGAAATCGGGAATGCCCAAGATGCTAGAATAGGTTCTCAATAGATTTCTTTTTCATAGTTAAGTTAATGACCAGTTTTGAAAACAGGAGTTGTTGAAGAGATATTTACTCAACAACAAGTCATGGCATTAATCACACAGTGACTGCAAACATCTAGAACCTTCTGGGCCAGTGGTTCTGAGTTTGGTTCTCCATAAGTTTTCAATTTCCCCTCCGAAATCTGTGCCAAATGGCTTGGGTTATTTGGGAACCTCTAGGATTTGGATTCTAAAAATATATAGAGGGGATCAAAGGTCAAGAAAGACCAGTCAGAATCCTATTGGTTAGTTATGCTGACACATGGTTTTATTTAAATCAATTTAATTTTTCAAAAAGTATTTAAATCAAAACCACCATGTGCTGTCATAAATGCAATGGCATAAATCGTGGCAACAAATGATTCCCTTTGCCGAGAATCTTATAACTACATTTTTGTCTTATAAGGAGCACTTAACATAGAGGAAGACAAAACTCAGTGTTCTAGGCGCTGCTGGACTACAACTCCCATCAACCTCATGAAGCATAGCCAATGGAGAGGGAGGCTTGGATTTGCACTCCAACAACACCTGGAGGATCACATTTTGCCCAATACTAACTTAAAAGCTGGAAACCCCACCTCTGTCCCAATGCAGCCCAATACCCAGACATGTCTTTGACATGGCAGGCCTTGTGATAGCCACTCTACATATGGCTAAAGTCCACATGTTCATCAAAGTTATCACGTAAGGCACATGTGAGGTATTTTTGGGCCTCCAGATACATTTGATTTCAGCTCTCAGAAACGTCAGTCAGCATGGCCAGTGGTGGGGTTTTTTGTGACCTATGCACCAGCATATTGGTGAACCAAGGACTCCCCACTCATAAGGAGTAAAAAAAAGGTTAACATAAGGATGTGAGGCACAAACAAAGGAGTGACAGGCACTGGAATAGTAACAAGAATAAAGATGTAGAATCAGAGCCTAATGATGTCGGCTCAGTTAAAATACTGGTCCTGAACTCTTGCAAAAATGTGATGCCTCTGTGCATATACAAGTACTTTTTTTTCCAACAATGAGCAGTCGCAGCAAGTTCCCATACAATTGGAATTTACTGGTTAGGCCTTGGAAATCAGGCAGTGTGGTTTCCTGACAAATCTAACATCTAGCATCTCCTCTTTGGGCAGCCAAACACTGGCCTCGGTCTTGTTGCCCTATCTGTGAAATGGAAGTATGACGACTTAAGTATGTATTGCAGGCATTCGGCAAGTTCAGAAGTGCTGTATACAGTAAATGGTTAATTTCCAGACAGCCCTGCTATGTATTAGGCAGAGTAGAGTAGTTGTTACGGGTGGCTGATTTAGGGTGGCATGAAAGGTTGACAAGTTATTAGAAATACAACAACAATTTTAGGACTGCACAGCTGGAAGGGACCCTGTAGATCATCGAGTCCAGCCCCTCTCAAGGAGGCACAGTGTGGAATTGAACTCCCAACCTCTGGCTCTGCCGCCAGATGCCTAAACCACTGAGCTGTATTTATTTCTCCTCTCAGAGAGAAATAAGGGCTGCTGGATTGTCCACTTCAGGAGCAAGATAACTTGACTGAGGCACTGTGCCCTCCTTAGTCTTTGCACCCGCTCCCAAGTATTTTATTTGAAACATGCCAGTTGTTCTGGGACACCTGAGAGATTATGTCGGAGTCAAAGTCTCTCATTTTTTTTAAAACTGTGTCTCTTTCGAAGACATTTGAAATACAACCCAGTGTTTGAACATTGGGGGCTCAAACATTACCGACTAGGTGTCTTGAGAGAGGCTTCTCATCCTGTTTCATAAGCATCTGTGCTAATGTGCAGTCCTCAAAAGTTGATGCGTTAAAATCCAATTTGTTTGTCCTTAAGGCGTCACATCGCTCTTTTTTTTGCGGGAACAGCCTGACGCATCCATTCCGCCTTCCCACCCACCCCCCACACCCGGCTTGGTCGAAACCCTCCTTTCCAGACAGTGCTTTAGCTCGGCATCGCCCCACAGCGCCTAGAAAACAATAAAAGCTTCCCCAAGCTCCGCTGACCCTTATTTCGAGAAGTCATCTGACAACCTCCGTCTCCTGCCCTGAGGAGCGACAGCCGGCAGGCCGGGCTTCTTTGCATAACAAAAGGCGGCCATCAAGCCGGCGCCTGGGAATGCCCTCGTCGCCAGCCCTCCCCAGCTCGAAAGCAGCCTATTTGCCTTCCTTTTGCCTTCCTCTTCTGTGTCCATCAACGCCATGCATTCATTTGCAAATAGGAGCGGGGGGAGAAAAGAAATTCGAGGTCATATTTGCATGCATGGATGTCTGCGGGGAAGGGGGGAGGGGGACGCGGAGGTAACAAGGAGGGCGCTTCCCGCCTCCTAAACTCGCCGTTTCTGGAAATGTACACAGGTAAATCCAGACTCAGGCGAACAATGCATGGATAGCATTAATATACTGTACTATATTTTGTTGCCCCTTCTCGTTATGTATGAGGAGGCCCTTCTTTGCATGTAGGCAAACAAGGCCTTAAGGGCCCGCCATTTGCCCATTCATCCTTACACAGCGACGCCTTCAGGGGAAATGTTCGTTACAGTTGATGGGCGCGTTTATGTTTCTGAAGCCGAGTTCGTGGCAGCGGTTTGTGTGGCAGGAGTTTCCGTAGCTGCTTTGCTGGTGCAGGAAAGCAAGGCACCGTCGGAGCCCTTGAGCGTCCGGGATGCTTCTCTGCATAATAATACAGAAAAGCATCGCGTTAAGTTCAGGGGCCAAGGGGTAGAATTTTTGAGACGCAACACTTGTCCGTCTGCACGGTGCCACAGGACTCTTCGTTGAGTGTTTCGTTCTGGTGGTTTGGCACACCGATCCCCCCTGCCTCTTGTGATCTACTGAAGGCTTGCCTCTTTCGTCTCCTTTTGCCCCTTACTTTTTTTTTCCAGTTTGGGCCAATCGTTGCTACGGGTGACGGGATCAAGGCCGACAGGACCCCCCTCCCCTTTTTTTCTCTCGCCCCCCCAACTGACAACCGACCATCCCCCGGGGACTTGGAGGGCGTCTGGAACACCCAGGCTGCTCGGGAGGGGTGGGGACAGGGAGGGAAGGAAGGAGGGCACGAACGGGCTGGCTGCTGAGCAAAGCGCCCTGCACACGCCGCCAGTTCGGCGCGCAGCCCTCGCAGCTGCAGTGGGAAGGTCCCGCATGTGGGTGGAAGCGAGTGGTGAGGGGGGACGGCAGAGAGAGAGAGAGAGGCG